CATGTTTTGTGATCATTTTAGCAAGATCAGTTCGCGAATCATCAAAATTAAACCGATGTGTTACTAAAAGTGATCCCCCACTTTCATCCGTCTTAGATCTTTTTCCGGTTAACTGACTCTGAAAATCATTTTTCTTTTTTCTGGTTCGTATTTTGCATGCCTTGTGGTGAGTATGCATCTCGTTTGTTCCATTTTTGCTTCTATACATAATTTCCTTTCTACAATACTTATAAACAACCATTCCGGTTCCATTAACATCTTTACAGGTGAAATGACGCCACTTTGGATATTTAAATATCTATTGTTTCTCATTACAGTTAACTGCATAATTGACGATATCATTAACCGTGTTTGAATCATTGAGTTGATTCGGCTTTGTTGAAGATATGATTACAAAAATATGAAAATGGTTCACATAAATATAAAAATCAACATTATTTTTTCGCGTAACTAACAAAAATTAGCTTATAGTAGCAATTAACTAAAGTAAGATCTCAGATTCAACAACTAGATGAAGTAATATCCCATAATCTATCAACATTGAACTTATGGTAAGTAGAATAAGCAAAGGAAAAACGCAGAAATTACACAACAACATTGAACTTATCTTTCAACATTGAACTTATCTGATTCAGCAACATCTCTCATAAATTACACAACAACATCATAGATTTAATTGAAAAATAGTGAGAAATAGATTACACAACAACAAACCATAAATTACACAACAACAAACCATAAATTACACATCAACATCACATATAGGGATGTCAAATATTCCCGTGTGACCCCGATCCCGTTGGGGCCCTTTCCTGTATGGGGGAATTTTTTGAAAAAAATCGGGGATGAGGGCGGGGCGATGGCAAGGTTAACCCCCGTTTTGATTTCGGGGGTGGGGGCGGGGGTTGGTAGTCCCGTCCCGAAACCCCCATGGGGGCCCCGTTAATAAATTATATAAATTGACATATATTAATTATATAAATATAATAAACAATAAAATGATTTTTACGTACAAAAATTCTACAAAAAACATGTTTTTAAGTTGTTTGTAACATGTAAAATTATGTTATAAATATCTATTTGTTACCCAAAAAATAGTTTCTTTTAGCCTAAACAACAACTTCTTTTAGCCGAAATAAGGTAGCCCAAAAAACAATCGGGGGAGGGGAAACGGGGGCGGGGGCGGGGGTTAGAAGGGGAATTCGTGGGCGGGACGGGGTGGGGTGGAAAGGATGGAGATTTCGGGGGCGGGGTGGGGGCAGGGGAACAGGAAAATTTTGAGGGCGGGAGATGCAATCCTCGACCCGTTTGTCCCCGTTGACATCCCTAATCACATATTTTATTGACAAAACAGTAAGAAACAGAGGGTAAATCATTAGAAATCAGTAAATCAAACAGTCAGCTATCGAGGGTAAATTAAGCAATCAGTAAATCAAACTCTCAATTGTATCAAAGAGGAAAAATGGACAGTAGATGGTAGATTACCACTTACCAGGGGATGTGAAGTCACAGACTCATGGTCGAGTATACTGTATACACGAACTCAAACTCTCGAAGACACAGTCGACTGTCGTGATTCGTGAAAAGCGGTGAAAGGGTGTCGGCAAGCAGAAGGGCATCGGCGGCCGGTGATTCTGTTGTCGACGAAGCTGACCGGAATGGTCAAAGGTGTTGGGTTGTTGGTTGCATCTTGGGTGGGGGTGGGGGATTCCGTTCGTATCGTATCTCGTATGTGATTATAAAGAAGCCCTAAAATTAGATACTCTATTTCCCATATGTATTTTACAATATATATATATATATATATATATATATATATATATATATATATATATATATATATATGTGTGTGTGTGTGTGTGTGTGTGTGTGTGTGTGTCTGTGCGCGCGTGTGTGTGTGACACCGTAAATTTTCAAACAAAATTTCCATTTTTAAATCACCTAAAACTCTATATCACATTTTCTCAAAAACCACAATGTGTCATTTATCAAAACACAACTCAATGAAATAACTGATAATATCCCAGAATCCTGATTCATAATCTCGAACAAGTATGTATAATCGAGCCTTCGCCTTCCCGAAATCTACAAAAGTACCTGAAACACATATTACACAACACGGTACACACGAAGCTTAGTGAGTTCCCCAAAATACCACACACACCAATAGTTAGCCTCTCATGACTATGTCTCGATAAGGACCATCTGGTCATGTGTCTGAGTGAAGACCCTCCGGTCCCACAACTCAGGCCGGACCCTCCGGTCCTAGTATCTCGGTGAGGACCCTCCAGTTTTACAAATCGGGTTGGACCCTCTGGTCATAACTCAATAGAAGCACAAAACAACATACAACATAAATCACAAAGACATAATGCATAATATCACAATACTCAATAATAGCATACAAGACCCTTCGGTTACACAAATTACCACTCAAGGTAAATATAGTGAGAACACTCACCTCGCTGAGTAAAGCAATGCATCCCACACTCGAGCTGCTAGTCAAATCTCCGCCCCTCCATGGCCTCCAAAATCCACAATTGACCAAAACCCTAAAGTCAACGGAAATCAACAGTCAAAACTGATCCAACTTTAAAAGTCAACGGAAGTCCACACCCAAGTCAACAGTCCATATTGACTCAACTCGTCGAGTACAACTCATGAACTCATCGAGTCCCTCAGAACTCAATAAATCGCGAAAACCTGGCTCTACTCGCTGAGTTGCTAGCCAACTCATCGAGTCCATGCAACGTCCAAAAGATCAAGAAAACCATACCTACTCGTCGAGTTTTCTCATCAACTCGTCGAGTCCACTCTGAATCCAAAGATGGGTAAAACCCTCTCAACTCGTCGAGTTGTCTCATCAACTCGCCGAGTGTGTCGCGGGTCCAAACCATCGGGTAAACCCTAACCGACTCATAGAGTCGGATCACCTACTCATCGAGTCTATTCAGTCCATTTCCTCATTCAGACGATTCTGGATAGAAATAAGGTCTCATACTCTGGATCTAGCCTCCTAAGGCTGAATCATTACGTAAAGCTGCAACCTTTACATTCATGCATTGCATATAGGGCTCAAGATGCCAAAACAAGCTCCATAAAGGTCTTTGTGCTTGAAGACTTTCCCAAAGCTTGATAAAGCTCGAATCTTTGGGCTCACAGGGACTCATATAGCTCAGATCTGTAGTCTCAACTTCCATGACCAGCTCAACAACTCCAAACCAAAAGATGGATGAGATAAAGCCCTAAAACTCTCTAAAAAGAGATCTAACAAAAATAAATGATCAAGGAGATAGCTTTTTACCTCCAACTGAAAGCTAGCACCGAAAGAACACTAGATCCAAAGCTTCTTCTCGTTCCAAACCTTCTTGCTCTTCAACCCTCTTCTAAAAATGCACTTGGACACAAGATCTTTAGCCTTTCTCTCTCTTACAACGACTACATCTCATCTAGGATTTCTCTCAGTGTGTCTAAATGTCCAGGGAGGTGGAAATGAGGGCTTAAGGGCCTTTAAATAGGGTTCAAGCCTTAAAATTAGGGATTTCTCAATACAGACTCAACTCGTCGAGTCCATCCCTTTGACTCAACGAGTAGGATTCATAAACCATGTGGCCACCTCGGCCCCTACACGACGAGTCGGGACCAACCAACTCGTCGAGTAGGTCCTCCAAAGTGCATTATATATATATATATATATATATATATATATATATATATATATATATATATATATATAAACATGCAATCGGGGCCCTCGTAGGAGTACGAGATGTAAATACTCAGTCTCGACCCCGGTCCCAAAAATAAATGGGGTTTAATTTCGCCCCCGCCCCTGAATTTTTATAAAAATTAGTCTCGTACGGTATTGGAGTCCCACGGTGGTTTTTGACATCCCCAAGTATAGATGGTTGGTGAACAAGGGTTGTTGAATCGGGGATGTTAACATATGCATGTATCCACTCATATGTGTGCACATATCATTTAGACTCTTTTAAGTGGTTAAAGTATTTTGATTTTGATCCACAGCAAGTTTGATGAAAATTTGAGTATAGAAAAAATAGATGTGTTTGTGGTGTGAAATGTGTATAAAAAGTGTTAGTATTTAAGGTAAATATGGTCTGGTTTAAATTTAAAAGTTCCATAACTCTTTGGTTTTTATGCCCAACGGATACAAATCAACGATCAAATTATTGTCTGCTTCTTACCGACCAATCAATACGTTCATATTCCTCCGTGAAGAACATCACTCCAAAATACACCTATGCATGGGAGGCGCTCTTCTTGCGTGGAAGAAGGGTGACACGTCAACTTCTATCGTTTCCTCCAACCAATCAATGTGTTCCTATTCCAATAGTACCTTATGTGCGACCAAATATATGTTCACTTTACAATGTGTTTCTAACAAGTTTTGGATAATTTTGGAAAAAAAAAGTATTTTGGATGTACAAGCTTGAAGTTTTTTTTTTTTTTTTTTAAACAAAAAACCATCTAATCTATAAAGCTACTAGTTTTTAGTTTTTAAGATTTATGTTGTTTTATATCTTTTAAAAACTCACAACTACTTTTTCAATGCCTTTTTACAAAAATATAATCTATAACTTCTAATCCATAACTTTCGGCTACTAGTTAAGTTAGAAGCAGTGGTAACACTCCTAACACCTTGCCATATAGATTTTTTTATTGCGACATAATCTTAGTATATGGAGAGGTAGTGCATATATTTTGTTTTGAAAAGAAAAATAAAATGTAAAATACCCACAACCAATCACATAGAAAGTAGAATCAATCTCCCTCCCTCCCTCCCTCCCTCCCTCCCTCCCTCTCTCTCTCTCTCTCTCTCTCTCTCTCTCTCTCTCTCTCTCTCTCTCGCGCGCGCAATATATTCTTAGCGAGGCTCTTTACATAACTTGAGGGTGGTGTAGTGAGTTGCTATCCCACTCCCTTAAGCCTTAGTTTTGTCAAACATAGTTTAATTAAACTTGATTAAATGTGTCTTAACACCCACCACTCTTGAACTCAACAAGAATTGTAATACTATGCGGACTTTCAATATATTTTTACAATATTAAAGTAGTTCCATTTATCAAGTCTACAACATTAGCCCATGAAAAACAAATTAAAAGCTTGTTTGCAAACAATAAAAAGAACCAAAACTCAAATCAAACTTATAGTCTTAACAAGTATTTTTTAAATCTTTTTTCCTTTTCCTAAAGTTACCACCTTAGCCTTATGTTTCCTTCCCGCGATATGCTTCTGTAAATCAATCTCACTTGTTGCAATCACCTCACAGATCCGACATCTCCACTCCATTTCCTTCTTCTTTGTATCTTCTTTCAAATCATTTGAAACATATCCTAAAAAGTTCTTAATCACAAATGGCTCATGTGTCTCAACAGACTTGTTACTTTTACCATTGTTGTCACCTCTCAAAGACTCCATATTGGCTTTATGTTTTTTTCCTCTAAGGTGATCTAGTAAACCACTCTCACACGTTGTACTAACCTCACAGATTGGACATATCCATTTGGATGAGTAATTGATAGTTGCCTTTTTGGCCATGTGTTTTTTTCCTGCAAGATGTTGCAGGAAACCATTCTCACATGGTGCACTAACCTTACAGATCGGACATTTCCACTCTATGTTCTTCTTTTGACTGTAGGAATTAAGCTCGGTTGAATGTAATAATGGTGGTGGGTTATGTCCAGCTCCAGACGTGGTTGGCTGTAATAAGAAACTCAGTATGAAATTACATAAAAACCCAAAAAAAACTGAAATCTCTGAAAAGGTAAAACCCCCCAAAAGCTACTTGAATTAGAATCTTGGATGGAATTCTGTTCATTGATGCAGAAGCTGAACTATGAACAACAGTACATTAATGGAAGAAAACTATTCTATTCAGAAGATTTTAACCAGAATAAAGTACTGATTCGTGAATGACGGATGAACCTAGAGAGAGAACAAGGATTACGTACTCACCATAAACGACGATGAAAATCCCTTTCGGTTATTCATTGCCATAATCTCTCGTCCAATCATCAATTCATTCCTCACTTCTGCTTCCAAAACGTGTAGACGCTCAACTTCCTCTGCTATAATCATCCCCCGTATCATCTCTTTCTCAAGTTCACGCTGAATCGCCTCTCGCATACACATCGGTCCTCCTGAAAAATCGTACACATCGCGATTTGTGTTCAAGTAAAACATCGCACATGTAATTTTCAACTACACTCGATGAAATCGTAAAAAGATGTACAAATCGAATAATGATATTTGATTTGCGGAACTTATTGAACAGTTAATCGAATGAATATGATCGATGATTGCGTACCTTCCATTGCAAGTTAGTATGGTTCGAAGAAGCTGATGAAGAAAATGTAGGCTAGACTTGATTGTGCTGCATTTTTATTAAATCATGGCACCCTGAATTTCATATTGCTATAGAGATGTAAGAATTTAGGGTTTTGCAGTATTACGTATCAGGGTGATTTAGCGCCGAGTATGGTTGGAAGTAAAAAGACGAAGATACATTGTTGGTAAATTCTCGTTTAGGAAAAAGAAGCTGAGTATATAGTCGTTTGATTCATCCAATATGAAATTGAGATACCATTTAGGAGTATGAATGGTTGATGATCATATTAGTCGTTTGATTCCTTCTATAAATGTTTACAAACTTTAAGTCGATATTAAAATATGTAAATTTGAATTTGGTTAAGTTATATTTAGGGGGTGTTTGTGATTTTAAATCAAACGTAATGAGTTTCAAAAAGTTTGAAAAAAAAAATGACTTCTTCAAAACTTGTGTGGAAAAGCTAAAATCCATTTTGAATTTCCAAATACTTTTCAGTTGAATGGTTTCTTGGTAAACTAATAAGTAATAAGTACATGAAAATACACAATCCCAAACACCTTTAATGAGTAATAAGTATATGAAAATATACAATCCCAAACACCTTTTTAGAGCGGAGATGTGGGTAAGAAATTTTCATTTTTTGTAGGCTACAATATTTTTTCTATTGTTTTTCTTGAGAAATTTTCTTCATTATTTGTTTTTTTTAATTAAAATTAATTTATTCTTATGATTTATAATTTTTAAATTAATAATAAACAAAAATTTTAATTAAAAAGAAAATGCATTTCATTAATTAAAATAAAAATTACAATAAACCTAAGATTTTTAAAAGTAGAATATTAAAAAAAGCAAAAACAAAAAATCAAACAAACCAACCAACAACCTATGAAAAATATTTTTTTCATAATTTTTTTCTTTCTTCTTTATCACGAGCTCAAGAGCCGGTCCTTAGAGATGTCTCTCCTCATGCTCCTTCTTCATTGCTTCTTTTTCTTTGTTGAACGCCAAACGTTCGGCTAAATTAAGATTATATCGATCAAACGACGTTGTTATTTTCCAAATTTCCTCAACGTCTATGCTGAAATCTAATGCACCCGAAGAAGTCCATTTTCCCTTCCTCTTTGCTTTGTCCCTACCAATCAGTCGGACAATTTCTTCTAGTTCGAGTTCGTCATCTTGATTTAAATCTGGACTGATCCGAGTATCGGAGGAAATTATGTAACCACTAGAGCCCGTTTTCGTTCACTTTGATTGTTGTACTCCAAAAATAAAATTTCGCTCTTATTTTTTCCACCTAGGACTTTTAGCCAATAGTTTCCAACAATCGTTCCACTTGAATGGTTTTCCGACTTCCTCAAGGTAAAATTGCAAAGCTTCTTGAAGTATTTCTTCGTCACGTTGGCCGCTTTTTTGTTGAGTTTTTAGGTTGTTGTACAACCTGTTTATTTTTGAAACCCCATTTGCTATTTCTCGAAACTTCGAATTCAGTTGGTGTTTCGTACGATAGTCGTCATCTTTTTCTAGCTCCTCCCGAAACCGTTCTAAAATGCGAAACCAAAAGTGATTTCCCTGTTGTGCATTTCCCGTCTTCGAATCCTCATAAATGTCAACCCAAGATTTTACCAAAACTAACTCTTCTTGTGGAAGCCATGTTGTCGACTTTTGTCATCCCGGTGGTGCGACACCCTTGCGCGCTTGTTGTTTTCCTTTGCGTCGTTGTGAGGGTGGTGTGGGTTGACTTTCGGGAACCATCTTTTCTTTTTTCGAGTCATCCAACTCTTCGACAAGTTGGAATTGTTGTTGGGTTTGGGTTTGAGTTTGGGTGTGGGTTTGGGGTTGGGTTTGGGTTTGAGGTTGATTTGACGAATGTTGATTGGAAAAAACAACAAAGTTTGAAAACATTTGCGGAGTAACATTTGGATCGTGGATCGGATAATATGTCTAACATTTTGGTATTGAAATTGTAGTGGAGATTGAATGGGAGCATCGAATTGGGGACGATAAACTCCTTGTGATGATGAATTGATAGCAAAAATGTTTCGAGTAGGGGCGCTTAAACTCGAAACCTTAGTTTTTTTTCTTATATATGAGGTTGGGGTTTGACTGTCGGGATTTTTTTTATTTTTGAAGAAAATACAAGTTGTAGGGCGGGTCTTTACCAACTTTTCAATCTGCTATTTTAGGGAAGCCAAAAAACAGAGGGTTTGTTTGAATGTTTGATTGAATGTAAATGAGTATAAGTATTTATAGATGTTGTAGAGGGTAAAAAAAAATTCAAACCATTTAACCGTTGGAATTTAAAAAAATAAGAAAAAAACAAAAAATTCACATTTTACCGTTAAGAACGGTTACTTTAAAAAAAACATTTTCTACCCAATCACGAAAGGAACGAGAACCCGGCAACAGAGCACCTCACCCCCTTCCCCGCACAGGCCTACCCGCACTGCCGGTACGATGTTCATCGCAGTGGGAAAGGTCCCGCCCCTCTTCCCGTACCCGGCTCCATCCAGTTTAGATGATGTGTTATAAATTTTGGTGTTTATTACAAAATCTTATTTGATAGAAACATAAAAATAAAAAACTTTAAATAGAAAACCAATACATGCAACAAGAACAACTAGGGATACTGGTATGGATGTTTTGCATCGAACTTTTGGAAGTTTTTACTAATTTTTTACTTTTAACTTATAAGTATGGGATTTTATTTTGTTTTAAACAAAATCTTTTAGCCTTTATATTTTAGTAACTTTTAGCCTTTTGATTTTATGTGATTTTACACATTTTAAAAGCTTACGACCACTTTTTTCAGACACTTCTAAACAAATAAAAACTACAACTACTAACTTTCAGCTTCCAACTAGTTTTATCAAACATATACATTAACGGCTTTGGAAAGCCATGGGAAAACTTGATGATAATTTTGGAGCTATGCAGAGAATTAGAGGTGGATTTGAAGTGTAGTTGAAGAACAAAAGCTTGAATCGCATCCTTGAGACACTAGAAGGTACAATTCGTTCTTCTAATCTTGGATTTTGGATTTCCCCAAATCCGAATTTATGATGTCTAAGAGGATAGGATTGATTCGATGGCTTTGTTTGAACTATTTGTTTATGAATCTAAAGTCAGATTACTCATTTATGGCTTGATTAGCTTGAATGTCAGATTGGATTTGAATATTGACTTTTATATGTGCGTTTGATCCATAATGTAACCTTGTTTTAACTTTTTAAACTAATTTGGAACAAATGAATGCACCATATGTTGATAATTGCACATTTTGATCAAATATAGTTTTTTTGAGTTAGTTAATAGCTTAAATGGCGATTTGAGTTGTAATTGTGACATTATGTAACTTTGGAATAGTTTAAACTTCAACCATTGTCATCAATCTAACTCATAATGTTCACTATATTTAAGTTTGAAGATGATCTAATGATGATTTGCAAATAACAATTCATTTTGAAGTACATATAATTCACATAAAGCCTTAGTTTTTCATGTCATAAACCATAGATAATCATATTTGAATCTTTTAACTATGTGAAAATATTGTTTTCTAATGGATATGGAAGTATTATGTTTTTAAAAATATTGTTAAATGAAATCTAACCATTTTAAGTCATTTGGATCGGTTATGGAGTCGTTGAAGTCATATATATATATATATATATATATATATATATATATATATATATATATATATATATATATATATATATATATATATATATATATAATGTTGATTTTCGATGAAAAATCACATTTTTGATAACCTGTAACTTACATAGCCATTAAATTTATAGGAATAACTAGGCGAATAGTCGCGTGTTGCGCAAAATACAGCAATATATTTGAAATCTTTACAAATATATGTTTTTAAATATATCATTGACGTTGTTGTTAGCTCTTATATAATAAATCTTATAATAAATTGGTATAAACATTGTTTATTTTAATTATATGATAATGTAGATATCTTTTAAAATTCTATAATCTTAATTGTCTCAATGGTCTCTGTCTGCATGTTACTCATGAATAAAATTAAATATAATATATGTTTTAACGATATTTATAGTTCTTAAGATTAATTAATATTAAAACGTTTATTTGCTTAAGATTTTAATTTATTTCATTGTAATTATTTAAAACATCAAACATTGTTTTTGTTTTTAATGGTAACAATATAATTTTTGTATATAATGTTACTTTTAACTATTGTTCTTGTAAGTTATTTAAAATAACATATTTGGAAACTCTTAATTATTTTATTTTGGTTTCAGAAATTTAATTTTTTTAAAATTTATTTGATTAATATTGTTAGTTTCTTTAATTATAATTATTTAAAATAACAAAAAAAAATTATTTTAAAAGATAACATTAAAATTATATGTAATATTACTTGTAACTATTCTTATTGTATGTTATTTTTTAGCTATGTATTTGAAAATTCTTAATGATTATAAAAAATAATTTCACGGTTTTGTTGTTAATTTAGGATTACAATTAGGTTTAACACTATAATTTATAATTTTTAAATATTTATAAAATAGTCTCTTGATATTTTTCAAGTTTAATTGAAATTTGGTTTTAACTTAACATTTAACATTATTTTGAAATTATTAATTTAACTATTTTGCATAAAATCATAAATTATATAAAAATGTTTGGATTTTAAATGATAATTGCTCATATACGATAATATATTTAAATTAATAAGTTAACTATAATATATTTAAAATTTAAAATCATAACTTTACCAATAAAAGTAAAATATGATATTTTAATGTTGTAGTTTAATTAATTTATGATTAGTTTAGTTTTTATATTAATTTAATAATATTAACCAAATTATAATAATTATTAGATGGAAATTAAAAAATCATGGATGTTTCAAATACATGTGGTACAAGTAAAAATGTCTCCTTTATAAATATACTAGGTGAATCCCCACGCGTTGCGTGCGAATACAATTATATAGTTAAAATAATAACTTTTACCAAATTATTATTTAATATTTCTTTTTTGAAACAAAATGTTAGTACTAAAGCAAACATATAGTTGACATATTAGTTTTTATTAAACATTATAGTTTTAATTTTTAAGTCATTGTGATATATACAATTATTTGATAATTTTATAAACTGTTTAAAACTGTGTAAATTGTATATCAAACGTATGATAATCTATATATAACGGGTAACAAAATGTATGAACAAAAATATGAACTGCAACTTTTAGTAAAATAAAAATACAAAAACATCTGTAACATCCCCCTCTGGCACGTATCACAATATTGTTCGCTTTGGGCCACTCGGCACGAGGACTTCCCAGGGGGTCACCCATCCTGGTATTACTCCCGCCTGAGCACGCTTAACTGCAGAGTTCTTATGGGATCTGCTGCCCTCACGGCTTTAAAACGCGTTGTGATAGGAAAGGTATCCACACCCCTTATAAGGAATGCTTAGTTCTCATTCCCAGCCGATGTGGGATCAGATCTAACCCACTTTCACCCCCCATTATCGGGTTCGACGTCCCCGTCGAACACATCGACCCGTGCCCTGACTCTAATACCATTTGTAACATTCCCCTCTGGCACGTATCACAATATTGTCCGCTTTGGGCCACTCGGCACGAGGACTTCCCAGGGGGTCACCCATCTTGGTACTACTCCCACCCGAGCACGCTTAACTGCAGAGTTCTTATGGGATCTGCTGCCCTCACGGCTTTAAAACGCGTTGTGATAGGAAAGGTATCCACACCCCTTATAAGGAATGCTTAGTTCTCCTTCCCAGCCGATGTGGGATCAGATCTAACCCACTTTCACCCTCCATTATCTTGTATATTTATGTTTTTGATGATTTGAGAGGGGACTCGGTGAGTTGGAGCTCAGACTCGCCGAGTAGGGACGCGGATCTGGTCACGGGATCGCGCCTGGACTCGGCGAGTCCAGGATATGGACTCGGCAAGTCAGCGCTGTGTAATGAAACCCTAATTTCTTGGGTTTGAGACCTATTTAAAGGACCTAATGGCCGTCATTTGTGCTCACTAGTCCCTTGAGTGAAACCCTAATCGAGTGTGAGCATTTGGAGCAAAGTAGAAGGCCATTATTGATCTTGGGGTGTCTTTGTTGCAAGGAAGGAGAATAACTAGCCAAGGGAAAGCAAGTGGAGCCACTTCTGAGGGTTTGGAGTCCAGAGCATCACTATTATGGTAATAATTTCGAGTTATCTTCTTCCTTGTTGATGTTTATCTAGATTTAGGGTTTGTTGAACCCTTTTGTGGCAAGATCTAGTGCCCCCTTGGTCCATTATGAGGTTTGAACCATAGATCTGGACCCTTAGAGGTCCAAAGTGTCCCTTTACCCAAGCTTTTTGGGAATCAATGGAGGCTTTGGATTGGAATCCTTATGCCTTAGGTCAAAACTCCATTTATGAGCCATGGGGTGTGTTATGGGCACCAAGATACAAGCTTTACGTGATGAATCAGTCTAGGGAGGCCAGATCTATAGATTGTGGAAGCAGATCTGACCTTAGAAGCAAGTTGGAGTAGTTGCATGGCATGGACTCGCCGAGTCTGTTCATCAGACTCGGCGAGTAGTTTGAAGATTGCCTTGGGATTGCTCAGTGAGTGGTCCAATCGAGTCATGGGTAGACTCAGTGATTCAGGGTGAGTTGGAGAGGGACGACAAGTGGACTGAGTCGAACTGGGACTCGCCGAGTTGTTCTTGAGACTTCGGGGTGGCCCCGCGATTCTTCCAGGTGAAACTCGTCGAGTAAGGGGGGGAATACTCGACGTGTAGGAAGGGAATTTCAGAGGGTTGGTGAAAACGTCTAGACTCGCCGAGTCGCTGTAGCACCCGCCGAGTCCGGTCAAAGTTGACCATTGACCGTTGACCAAAAGTTGACCTGTGTTGACTTCTTGGGTATAGTCAACCTTAGAAGATATAAAGTGTTAACTAGAGGCATACGTTGTTATAGGAGGAGTAGAGCTCGGAGGATCGAGCACGAGGGATATTCAGGATTCGTGAGATACCGAGATACGCGAGGTGAGTCTTCTCACTATACTTTACCTTGAGTAGGTAACCAGAGTTATGTGATAGAGTATTTGTATGCTATGTATGTTATGTTTTGTACTGCATTATTTCTATGTGATTTATGTGGTGCATGTTTATCAGAGTTAGAACCTGAGGGTTCACAGAGTTTGGGTGCACGGACCCACAGAGTTATAGCCTCGAGTGGCTATTATGTGTTAAATGTGGTATTTTGGGGAACTCACTAAGCTTTGTGCTTACAGTGTTTGATGTTATTGTTTCAGGTACTAGTGACGACTGCGGGAAGGCGCCGACTTGATCCGTACACACACACTCGGAGTTTTTACATTGTGATCTTGAGATTTTGTATTGACCTAAATTGGATAATTAATATGGTTGTTTGATTAATATTAATTGAATTATGTTTTATAAAAATTTGAAAAATTTGTTTTGAAATTTACGGTGTTACAACATCTATTATAATATTTGTATTAAAAAAGATATATATACAACGAATAATAAAAAAATGAAAAATAAACACTATAATTTTTAATAACATAAAAACATAAAAACATCTATTATAACATTTATATTAACTCTTTATATTTAAATAACAAATCTCTTCCAATATGTTAATATTTTTAATGAGCAAAACTTTACAAACTACTTATAAATGAAAGGAAAATAAAAAGTTATTAGTGATTACTAATTAATAATCATAGGTAAAAAAACTCTTGATTTGTAACTAATATATATATATATATATATATATATATATATATATATATATATATATATATATATATATATATATATATATATATATGAAAACTCTTGAGGTGTAGTATGAGTTTCATTTTTTTTTTTGGTATTTGGAAATGTGTATTTATTATTATTATTATTATTATATTCATCTAAATAATTGGTTTTGATGCATCATTTTAATCCCTTCAATTATTAAACATAAATATATTTAATTATCACAAAGACAATCATCTAACAACAACTCCTACTAGTGGGTCGATATTGTGGCCTTAGACCCACTACTACTGGAAGGTAACTCATCTCACATTGCTGAAGTCCCGCAGACCCAACCCCAGCTGCTGGAAGACAGGTTCTCGAACTGTCAACATCAAAATAACACCCAATTATTAATTGGGTTCCAATACATAACCATAAGTCCATGCTTGGGGTAAAAGACAACTTTACCCCAATCTTGGCTTGATCCAAGCCCAAGGCCCAATCCAAATGCCTAATAGTCAACTATGAGTCAAAGCCTAACATATGGCCTAATTTTCCAAATTGGGACCAAACCTTTACATGGTCTCACACTAAGGCACAACCATTTATTCCAATCCACTTTTGACATTCTGATGGCCCAATATCATATAATCATTAAGGTCTAAACTATGGCCCATCTATGGCCCAATTTTCCAAATTGGGCCCAAAGCCTCATATAGGCCTTACCCTAAAGCCCATTAATTATTCAAGTCCATTTGCTTGATATTGCTTGGCCCATTAATAGCCCAATCACCAAAGCCCAATAGAAAGGCCTAACTTAATGCCCAATTAAGATTAGGGTTTCACATAAAATGACAATTAGGGTTAAGTGTTTCTCACTTAACCCATTAAGGACTTAATCCATTAAGTCCATCAATCTACTAGATAAGTCATATGGTATGATTGGTTGTAATTCACAACTCCATTCCAATGGCCCAAAAGTGGGTCCCAATAAGTCCAAAACCCATAAATCTAATATTAGGGTTCTTTAAACCCTAATTAGGGTTTCCAAACCCATCTTAGCCCAATAGGCCTAATAGCTAGGTCTTTTGATCAATTAGGGTTCATTAGACCTATTAGTCACATGTTTGGGCTTTTAGGTCAATTAGAGCTTCATTAGGCCCATTAGGGTTTTAGTCCCTTTGTCCAAACACCCCAAACGAGTCACAATACAAATGAGGCACACCGCCACCCGACACGGTGGCCGGAGGCGGCAGCCACCACCTCACGGTGGTGGTTTTGAGTTTCTTTCCATTATTCCATTTTTTGTTACAATTTACAATGAAAATACCAAAAGTAACACACACACACACACTAACTAACATTAAACACACACACACATGGTGGCATCCACCACCTCACGGTGGTGGTGGCGGTGGATCTTGATTTTCTGACCATATACTGTGCAAACAACTTCACAAACACACCCATCCAAAGATTTACTTACACAACTACCACCTCACGGTGGCTGGTGGTGGTAGAAAAACTGTTTTACAGAAACAACCACCATGGTCGGCTGCCATGGTGGGTTTTTCTCTCGATCTCTGGCTAAGTTATCCCTCACACACCACAAACATAATCACAACCTATCTGGTGGCGTGCAACGGTGAAGGCAGCGGCAGTACTAGCGGCCATAACGATGGTTGTTGTCGATTAACAGCAGCAACTGAAGTCTATAGCTCGACGGCACCCTTGTCTTCGACGGAGACGAGCAGCGGCGACGCCAACGGGGCTGAGACGCAATGCCTGATGAATAGACGTCAAACAGAAGAAGGATGTCGGCCACAACATCTCTGATTTCCAGTCCGTACTGCTTCATTTGACCGTTCTCGGTGGTTCTTCCTCGGTTACGCACATTGTCCAGTGATAGCGACGGAATTATGATGGCAAAGAGGCAAGTGGCGTGATGGCAGTTGTTGGAGAAGGGGAACAGTGAAGGTGGCAGTTGATGGTTTGCTCTAGGGTTAGGGTTAACGTAGTGAAGCAAAGTGACAGGTTTAATACCTGATCATATAAAACTTTCGTCCATTGTACACCTTTGGTCCCTCCTTCCTAATCTCTTTTCAAACCCAGTCCATATTTTACCATTTCAACCCCATCCATGGAAATCCCTTACAAATTAAGTCCCATATTTTACTAAGAGCCCCCCTGCCCCCCTTTACAATTATTTTCAAATGGGGTCCATAATTAACTCTTTAGCCCCTATTTTCATAAATCCTTTCAAATTAGGTCTAATACTTACGAAATATCCTACTGTCTTCTAAAATCTTTACAAAATAAATCTCGAATTTATACTTTGACCCTCGAATAATCCAACTTATGGCAAAGTAAATAAATAAGGGTATAAACGTATTTTCAATTTTAGAAAAACTTTGATTTTGGATTTTCTGTGCAAGTTGGAAACTTTTTGGACCCAATCCAAAGATTTTTGCAAACCACAAGGACCATATTTGCAGTTTTGTCTTTCTTCCCTTCTTGGTTTATCACTTTATGTTTCATCCGCCCCTGCAAGCACCAATCAAATTCAACCTTCATCCTCTCTTTCTTCTCGCTAAAATTGTAACGTGTCGACCCCCTAGCAAGAGCTAGGGGCGGTATTCATTGATCGCTAGCGAGCGTAGTGAGCGGGGTCACGACCTCCACTCCTCTTACTCTAGCCTCGTTGAAAGGACACACACACACACATATATATATATATATATATATATATATATATATATATAATTTGGTTATCAGGTCTTTGTGTTAGATCTAGAGTAGGTGTTGCTAGTGGGTTCTAGACTTGATTCTTAGGCGTCATCATACAATAAAACTGTTAGAACCGTCTCTAGGACTATGTCCTGGGATCAAGCTCCGAAATTCAGGTTATGAGGAGATGGTTTATCCTAGATTGAGAACCATTTTGGTGGGAAGAGTGTATGTATAAAGAACCCAAAGACCTGGTAGCCCAATTCCATGTCATGTATCGTACTTAGCATAAAGAACCCAATACCACCGAAACGAGTAATGAACTTTGGTTTTTGTCTATATTTAGGTATCCATGTTTTTTTACCAGTAAACTTGTTTGACCTGTTCATAATAAGGTAATATTACAGCTAATTACCAGTCTTATTACCTTATTTTGAACAGGTCAAACAAATTCAATAGTCAAATGTGTTATAAAAAAAACATGATTACCTAAATGTGGACAAAGACCGAAGTTCGTTACCTTTCTAGATCATTAACCATTTTTGGTTTCGTTGACTTCAATTTGGCTAGCTTTGGACCTAAGAAAATTTCAAATAGACAAAAACAAACTGAATAAACCTAAGAAATCATTAAATGAACCGATTTTCACCTGTAACACCCAAAGTCTGGAAGGCTAAGAAAGGAAAGAAAACCCTAATTTTAAGGGGCGACTCGGCGAGTCCAAGGAGAAACTCGGCGAGTCCGAGCGGGATCCGGGTTGAGGAGTAAGTTACCGACTCGGCGAGTCGGCCAAGGAGACTCAGCGAGTCTGGTCTGTGCGAGGAAAACCCTAAATTCGGGACTTAGAGCCTATTTAAGCACCTCATTCTCTTCCCTAGGGTTCCTTTACTGCCTCTCTAACCAAGAACACCAAACCCTAGCCGCCATATCCATTGTTTGAGCCAATTGTTGCCTTGAAGAGTGCATTAAAGCTTGGAGAAGGAAGAAGGATCTTGGAGGTGCAAGAAGGGGCTATAGATCTGGGATTGGGAAGATATTTCTGAGCTTTTGGAGGTAATAAATTAGTTCTTGGACTCTTTTGCACCTAGATCTATGTGTGGGTGTTGGGGCTTTTTAGCCATAATGGTATCCATTTGAGTTAGAAGCCAGATCTGAAGTTGCTACTTCGGATCTAAGCATATTATGGTCTTGAGAAGCATAAAGTATCTGCCCTTGAGTTGATTATGGAGCCTCCTTGCCTTAAACCCTAGTTTATGGTGTATTTTGCCTAGATCTCCTTCTCTACACGTAAAGTTAGCAACTTTACGTGAGGAATAGGCTTGGGAAGGGTAGATCTACAGTTTGGAATCCATGCATGACTCAAAAGTTCTCTGCATGTAAGGAGATCTGAATGGACTCAGCGAGTCCTTTGAGTGGACTCGGCGAGTAGCATGAAGATTAGGAGCAACTAGAAGAGTGGGATGAACAGCTCGTCTAGTCAGATGAAGATTGTCCTGTACTCGGCGAGTCTGCTCTTGGACTCGGCGAGTCAGGTCGCGAAACCCCAAACCCTTCAAATTGAGACTCGAATCAGTGAGTCGAGTGGAGACAAGGTGAGTTGGACAGGTCAGGACTCAGAAATCGGTAGACTCGGCGAGTCGAGACACGAATGGAAGGACTCTGAACATATGAACTCGGCGAGTTAGTAGGGTGAATCGGCGAGTAGGGTTGACCTGGAAGGTTGAATTTGACCAGGACTTTAACTTTGACCAGAGTTGACTTGGTTGTCTCTCGGGGGTCAGTTAGACTCAGTGTTGCATTGATATTGGTAGTTCGGGGAGCAAGGGGAGCAGGAGTTCAGAGAGTTGTCGGGCAGCAGCTAGTGAGATCATCAGCAAGTTCAGCCAGTGCAGGTGAGTTTCCCTTTGTGTGAATGGGTCTAAGGCCATAATACCGGCCCATGTAGTTATGACTAGAAGGCTCGGGGGTTAGCCCTAGGCACAATATGCTAGTATGATATTCAGGACGAGGTCCATTAATAGCGGGCGGGTGCCCAAGGATTTGTTTATATGATAGTTTATACTTATTGTCTGTGTGATACATGTATGTGCCTGGTAGGGAGGTGAGTGTAGGTGAGGTCCCATATCTCACCAATAGCCAAGTGTGGATAGTGCTCCACATCTTATTAGTAGCAGAACAGGGGCGAGGCCTAAGTTAGGGAAGGAGTGAGAGTGGGCTAGGCCCGTATCTCACTACCAGTAGGAGCGTGGACGGGATTCCATGACTCATCAGTAGCAGGACAAGGGCGAGGCCCAGGATAGGCGAGGCCTTAGGACAGGATCAGTCGTATGAGTTTAGCTTATGTGTTGTGATATGTTTATGTGTTATTATTTTTTGGCGGGCGAGGCCCTGTGATAGGCGAGGCCTAAGTAGAACAGATCTGTATCCGAGCGGGGCTCGAAGCCATGCGGGGTCTGGAGCGGTGGGGCCGTTGTAGCGGGCGAGGCCCGAGGCAGGGGGCGAGGCCCAAGATAGCGGGCGTGGCCCATTATGTGCAGTATGTGGTGATGCATGGTATGAGGTAAGGTGGGGAACTCACTAAGCTTCGTGCTTACGGTTTTCAGTTTTGGTTTCAGGTACTTCCGGTAACGGAGGGAAGAGATCGGGGTGATCGCATGGCACACATCATTGATTAGACAGTCTGGGAATGTTTTACTCTGATAACGAACATGTGTTTTGGAAATTAATACCCTGTTTATGTTTTGGATTGATGATTTTACTTTAAGTAATGTTTTATTAAAAGGAATTTTTGGTCTTAAAGTTTGGGATGTTACACCACCTCTATTTGATTTTTAAGAAAATATATCTAAAACATTTTAGGTTTTGGTTTTTAATAAAAAAATAATAGTTTTATGCTTTTATTTTAAACAAAAAAGTTATTACTCCAAAAAGAGAACTCAAGTAGATTTTAAGAGTTTTAGATTCTCATTTTTATGTAACTTTACACTTTTAAAAGCTAACATCTATTGACGTATACATAAAAGAGTACATGTACCCTACAACTTCCATGTATCACTTAATTTTTTTTCCAAACAAACCCTAAATTCTTTTATCTCATTTGTATTTTGGATGCTTAGAAAAGAATAGTTTGTGAATAAAAATAGTTTACTTAATGCAAACAAGTATGAGAAATTTATAAATTTAGCCAAAAATGTTAATTACTTCTTAAATATAGACAAAAAATAGTTTTTTCAAAAACTAACCAAGGAAATAGTATATGGCTAGACCTCATTTGCTATTTGCTATCCTCCCACTGCAAGTTATCATTTTTGGATTGCGAATCGGCCCAATTTTTGTCCCATGGCCCGACAAAAATAGTGTCTATAAAAGGTTTTTTTTTTAATTTTTTTTTATTTATAGATTTTTCTAAACAAATCGCAAGTGGGTGTGCTCCACCTGCAATTTTCTCTACTCCCACCTGTGAATTACCCTAAAATAATTCTGATTATTTTTAACTTTCCCAAAAAAATACTTTAGTTTGACTACGAATGTACAAGTACTTGATGCACAACTTGTGTATCATTAGCTTCTACTTTCTTGTCTACACATATATGTGAATGTACAAATCATGATGCATGATTTATTCATCAGATACTTATACATTACACTCCAGATGCAAAATGATCTCAAAACCCAACATTCAATTTGCTATCCTCGAGATGCAATTTGCTCTCTCATACCATGAGATTTCTCACTAGATTTTTTTTTTTTTTTGGCAAATAAATCATAAATAAACATATTCTAGATGTATAAAACTTAATAAAACATGATTAAAACACTAAATAAATAGAGATCTTATAGAGTTTTCGAAAAATGCATATTTTCATCCATTATAGAGGTTAGAGAATTTTTTTTTGTAAGCTGAAATTAGAAAATGAGAGTATTCCTAGAAAAAAATGTATTTATACATCAGGCCCATGGCTATTATTGGACATAATCTGTAAACATACTAAAAGATAGGATTTGGTATGAGTAATCAACTATGAAATGAATGGTTATTTTTTAAAGTTTTAAATTGTGAACTTAACAATGAGATTAAAGTTAAGTCATGATAAACCTTGACAAACCATGATGTTTTTCAAAACGTAACTATTTTATATATATTAAAAAACATAAATCATATTATTACTGAATTTTATCAAATATATTTATTTTTTAGAAGTGTTATATTAATATTTAATATAAAAAGTTAACAAAAATTCAATTATTTTTAGACCGATCAGAAAAAAACCAACAAAACAAAAAACCTACGGTTTGAAAAAACTCACACCATAACGCAATAAAACACGTTTTCTTAACGTTTACACCACGTCTTGCGTCATGGCCCGCCCACCATGCTATTTTCCAAGAATTGCTAATTTTTAACTATTAAATAATTAACATTTTTAATTAAATTTATACATTTTCAAAAAGTATCTATTGTACTTAAATTGTGTATCGAAATTAGTTTTACAATTAGTCCATCACTATGACATGAGAAGTTGTACAATTAGTCCATCACTTATGACATGTAAAGGTTCTTACAGTCCCTTGATTCTTTATTCGATTGCTCCCCAACTTTTTATATTTACATATCAAAAGATCCGGTTAAAAAAAAAAAAAACATATCAAAAGATAAGTTTTGAATAATATGAATATCAAATAACCTAAGTTTTTTACTTTATTGAGAATGATGATCAATTATTGCCGGTTTCATGCAGCCGAGTTACAATCTAATAATCTATGATACGGATCAAGAAGTATGGGAACCGGATTTGATTTCATCTTACAAGAATAGTCAACTAATGAAAGAAGCTATTTTTATTTGATAGAAGTTACATTTTAGATTAACCTCATTACCTTTGATTAATACTAAACATAACTGATTATAATTAATTATATTTAACTGCAAACAAACATAAGATGTATTTCATCATTAAGTAGACTTGCTTAAATATGAAGTTTTTGATAGAACACCAAGTTTTCAAATTTGTTTCAACACCCACCACTCATTTTGAGATTATATGTTTTAAGTTTTAACGACAATATAATAGTGCAATCTATACTATAGAACTTGTTTCCATACAACGATAAGATCCAAAATTGAAATCAAGAAGGTTTTTCAAATGGTTTTTCCTTTTCCTTTTCTTACCTCAATCTTCGTTTCTGAAACTGGTCAGAAGCTGGTAATGATGGTGGTGATGCTGGTGGTTGTGGTGGTGGTTTCCAGTAAGTTCCAGGCTGCAATAAGAAATTCAGATAAACTTTATTACTTCACAGCCATCAATGGTGTTAAGCATTTTAAATACAATAGCTAGGGTTCATAACAGCCATCAATGGTGTTAAGCATTTTAAATACAATCAAAATGAGGCCCTACCATAAACGACGATGGAAATCCCTTCTCGCTCTTCATCACCTCTTCTCCCATCGTCACCTCTCTCCTCCTCACTTCTGCTTGCAAAACGCGAAAACGCTCCACTTCCTCCGCTATTATCTTCTCCCGTATCATCTCCTTCTCAAGTTCACGCTGAATTGCCTCTCTCTGAATATCCACCGGTTCTCCTGGAAAACTCCAACAAATCACGATTTAGGTAGAAGGTAAAGCAACGTAAAATCAATAGATCATGCGATATTACACTAGAATAAGCTGAAATCATTAAAAAAATCACCATAAAATGGTCAATCGAAAGAATATGATCGGTAATCGCGTACCTTTCATAGCATTGTTGGAGAAGTTAGTGTAGCTTGACGACGGCATGGAATGGACTTGATTTTTCTGCAGCTGCGCATTGAATCCTGGCAATCTGAACTCCATTAGTACAACAATGGAGAATTTTAGGGTTTTCAGTGTCTGATATGTAGCAGGTAAGGGCTCCGGTGGGTGATTTGAGAGGACGAACAGAGGTGCGTGGTTGCACCGGGTATATTCAGGAATTCAGAAGCAGAAAAAGGACGCTGAATCGCTGATGTTTTGTTAGCGGTTTCATCAAATCGGTCGCCGCTGTAAAATAAAAAATAACGTGTAGGATTGTGAATGGTTGAAACCATAGAGTAAAAATTTGTTTGTTTATTGGTAGAGATGTTAAAAAAGCAAAAATAACCCAAATAACAAAAATTTAAAGAAATAACCCAATGTTTGTTTAAGAAATATAAAAAAATTAAAAAAAGTAACCCAAATAACCAATGAAATCATACGATATCTTCTAGTATGCCATTTCGGTAGTTTTACAATTATTTATTTATTTATTTAATTTTTGCCATTTGCAATAACCAAAATCGTAAGATGGCATTTAGCCATTTGCTGTTTCTTCTTTCGAAAAATTATGATTTTTCATATAGAAAACTAAGAATTGGATTTTTTTTTTCTTTAAAAACTTGATATATTGATTGTTATTTGAAATTTTCACTATGAATGTTTAAATTTTGATTAAAAAAAGTGCATACTGTTTTTATAAAAAGGGAGAATTTCATAAATGCTCATCTTAAACTTCAAAATATCATATTTGCCCAACTTAATTTCTCAATATCATATTTATCCTTCATAAACCATCAAAATATCATATTTGCTCAAATCCTTTTTATAATGTTTTTAATATTTTATAATTATTCTTTATACCTTAGAATTATTATAATAATTAAAAATATTAACCATATGATCTTTATGTCTATGATAATGGAATGTGAACTTCTAAATTGTTGGAATGTCGTCCTCTTGACAAACAAAAAAAATTCATCTTCAACCCTCTATATAGAATATATATTTTGATTGTCTAGTTTTTGTTGTTGTTAATTATTATCATGTTGTAGATAGAGGTTATTTTAGATATTATCATTGATATTTTGATTTTTAAAATGTACATATACGATATTTTGATATTTAAAAAGGATATATATGATATTTTGATGTTTAAAAAAGACATATATGATATTTTGAAATTTTATAAAGGGTAAATATGATATTTTGAAATTTTATGAAGGGTAAATATGATATATATAAATTAAGTTGGGTAAATATGATATTTTGATGTTTAGGAATGACATATATGAAATTCTCCCTTATAAAGAAAATGTGTTTATCTACATTAGGAAAGTGGGAGCTGTAGTCTGTATTTCAACCTTATTTTTACTAAAAAAAACTATATGTTATAATTAGTTTTTTTGTTGGCGTTGGTATCCATAGGAAGTGGCGGAATGTTGATGATCACCAAGATATGTTAGATTTTTCGTTAAAAAATACGAAGCAAAATTTTAAGAAATTTAATTTTGCTGAATTTTGTGAACAAAGACCGGATTTATAGATATATCATACACCATTTTGTCTTTTCAACATTCTAAAACTTTGCATGTGTATTTGATTATTTAAATTTTGTGAAAAGTTCGATTCTATAGTGATGTTTGTCACTTGATCAATACAATTAAAAAATTTAGACGCATGATGCATGTGTATCTGGTTGAAGGTGAAGATGATGGTGATGATCTAATCCACTTGGAAAGGAAAAGGCTCATGTGAGATTAAATCTTGTGAATTGAGGAACACCAATTAAATGGGTAATTTTATCCCTCCCAATGTACCTCAATATAATACGGCTCCTACATATGCTAGTATTCGCAAAAACGTAATGCAATCAACGATTCAATGTGGGTATACCGAAAATTATAATTTTATCTCTTCCAATCTACCTTAGCATCATGATCTAGGTGAACCTCAATATCATGATCTCATATTATATTTGCATTAGAACATATCAATCATGACACATTAATAAAAACATATTGAAATTTATAGTAACATGTCCAATAACAAAGTTGTAAGTTGTAACAGGTTTAGGAATCTAAGCATTACACGTAATACATCAACAAACACATATTCAAACATAAAATACTTCAAAAAAGCATTATAGAATCTAAGCCTTAAACAAACAAAACACACATGTCCAAGAATTTAAGGTACCTTAATTTTTGCATACACCATCAACCCAATCTTGATGAAACTTTAACCGTTTAGATGGGAAAAATAATTCTTCCTTTGGATACTAAAAAGAACACTACATAATTGATTTTTTTCTTAAGCATATTCCTCACCCACAACCTATCCCATTGGTAGGCATCAACAATGTTGGAATTTGAATATTCATCTACCACAATCTAAGGAGGAACCAGTTTGATGCGCACGCATGGAGACAACCTCTTAGATGGGCGCAAAATCATCGTCCATGATAAGGGTTCGGTATTGGATAATGTGTTATGTATCCAATATAACGACCATGATGTTTTCCATCTTCCTCCAATTCTTTCCATTCTACCAATGAATAGTCTATAATAATTCGTAAATCTAGATTGGCTAATTGTTGTCTAATAGAACCTCCCCCGGTAGATATCTCTCGATTTCGAAATGTATCGAAGCTCCGGGTAGTAAAAAAATGGGGATCATGGCGACAACGATTTGATGAAGAAATGCAATAGAAGTTTGATAAAGAATAAAGGCGTGGTATTGATCTAACAGAGATGAAGACAATGGTTTGGTCACGATAATGTGAGATATTCATGGGGTTATATTTGTTATTTCAATGGAAAGGGTTCACACTTAATAGAACTTAACCAACATAGTTACACATAATGACTTTTCTTACAAGGTTTTTCAAACTTGGGACATATTTAGCAAAAATAAGCTAGTTTATCAGCAAACCTATATGATAGCTTAATGTAATTTAACATTTGATCAACCAATAAAAGCAGCTTATCTTATTGATAAGTTAGCTTATAAACTAGTTCATCCAACATAATATTAGAAACCATCCTTACAATAAATTATTTGTAAAAGAAAATTGAAGTTTTGAATTTTATATACTTTATTATATTCATTTTATTTTTTAAGTGAAATCTTAAATTAAGACTTAATAAAGGGACATTATCCCCACGTATAGCAACGACCACTTTTAATTGGGTTATTGTCACTCTGGTCCAACTATCTTTCGTATATTGGTTTAAATAGTCCCTCGTGACTATTTTTTGCTTTTAAAGGGATTATACTTGTCATTTTATGGTTTAAAAGGTCACATTTCTAGATTTGAAGGGTGCAACCGGTCACACCCATCTGACTAGGACGTTTTCTTATTCCAACTCAATGCTAAGTAGATTAAATATGTCTGGTCATTGCCACGTGTTATGTCACTAAATGAAACTTATATCCGTTTAAACCCTCTCAACTGTCCCTTTCATTTATTCTGCTACCATTTGCATTCGTATACTTTTTCCAAACCGTGATTGTCACGAATCCGTTTCTTAAACTCTTCCTCATTGAAATCGGCCAACATAATCAATCCTATGGTTGTCTACATGAAGATAGATCTCCATTTTGCCGGAATTTTTTCGAGGTACCCCGCTATTTGTTACTCAGATGGTGCAGAACAAAGGTTCGATGATGTCGATTTTGCTGGAATGGACAAGAACGAGTTTGTGGGGTTCATTCAAAGATTCGCTAATGAGGTATGCATCAATGTTTACTTTTTCATGCCCGATGTGGTGTTCCCTGATGGATTGAGGTTAATAGCTACTGATATAGACTATATGGACTTCATCGAAGTAGGATATGCTTCTGGTAGTGTTATTAATATATACATGTACCATCTTGGTGTTAATGTACATTAATGGATCCTTGAGGAGCAAGGCAAAATATGCAGTTCATTAGATGAGTTGTCTGATAGAATTGAAGTTGGTGAAGAAGTGCAAGGTGGTATGGATATGGATGATGGAATTGAAATTGAGGATCTTTTTGGTCATAGTTGGCAAGGTGTTACGGAGGATTTGCAAGGCACTAGGGAAGACTTGCAAGATGGGGAAGGTGATGACATTAACATTGAAGTTCAGAATGATCAAGGTGATATGGAGGATCTGCAAGGTAGTACAGAGGATTGGCAAGGTAAGGAAGATGATGACATTAACTTGGAAGTTGACAATGAACCTGATGAATGTATTCCTATGAATAGGACAAAAGATGATGAGTTTTTGAGCAAATTGTGCTCAAATGACCAAGTTACCCCTAACAGTCCTCCTCATGAAGAGCTATATGAGCATTTAGTCGATGATGAAGTAATATCTAATGAGCAAGCTATTTATGATGACAATGTTCATTGGAAAAAATAGAAGCCTGTATTAGGTATGAGATTTGTGAATCCTAAACAACTGAAACACATGTTGTGTAACTATGTTGTTGCAAATGGTTATCAGTTATGCTATAAGAAAAATGATAGCAAGAGACTTTTAGTGAAATGTTGTTCCGGTGCTTGCAAGTTTAGATTATGGGCATCTTGGATGAGTGAGGAAAAATCTTTCGAAATTAAGAGTCCCATAAATGAGCATAACTGTGCAAGAAACTTCAAATTAGGTTCAATTGTCAACTATGCTTGGATAGGTACCCATTACACCACCCAATTCTTACAGTAACAAAAAGTTAGTGTTAGGCTCCTTAGGGATGAGGTTAAAGAGAAATTTGGAATAAATGTAAGTATGGGACAGTGTAGAAGAGCTAAGAAGTATGCAATTGAGTTGATTGAGGGAACATTAGTGGATCACTATGCAAAGCTATGGTCATATGGTGAGGAGATAAGAAGATCAAATCCTGGATCAACAGTCAAAATGGATGTCAGTGCTATGCCAGATGGTAAGACTTATTTTAGCAAGTTTTACATTTGTTTTGATGCCCTAAAGCAAGGGTGGAGAGGGAGCTACAGAAGAATTATAAATTTAGATGGGTGTTTCTTAAAGGGTTTATGTTCAGGAGAGCTAATTGTTGATGTAGGAAGGGATGCTAATAAT